CATGCCATTCATTGTATACAAGTGTGTCTAGCTGTGAATGGTCACAGCGATCACATGCACAGGCTGGGCTATTCACAGCCCATCTGTGTCATGTGATTAGCCGTGGCCAATTACAGCTAATCACAATAAAAAAACCTGAATGAATCGATTTAATTCACTTAAATGCTTGCTTATAGCAAGAAATTCTTTCCTATAAGCAATCAAACTGTGTAAAAAGAAAAAAATACCCCCACTTACTATGGTAACATTATACTACTTTGGTCATAGTGTAATATGAAAATAAAATCTTAAAAAAGAAAACAATTTGATAAAAAATAAAAAATAGTAACCAAATGTAAAAACAAATTTGTGAAAATTTTTTTTAATTTCTTCATTTTCCAAAAATTATGACAAAAAAAATTACAATTTAAAAAAAGTCATCATGCCTCGTATTATGAAATACGTTAGACTGTCTACTTTGCAAAAAGGAATCATTTGGGGGATATCTGTACTGTTCTGACATTTTTTGGGCCTCAAGAAATTAGATTGGCTGTCAGTACTTCAGGACTGATGAATTTTCAGATATATACCATAGTTTGTGAACTCTATAACTTTCCTACAGACTAAATAATAAATACTGATTCGGGTTATTTTCACCAAAGAAATGTAGCAGAATCAGGGACGGACTGACAACTCATGGGGCCCCCGGGCAATAGGGGATCATGGGGCCCCTGTGTCCTTGCCCACACTCAAAAAAGCCTATAAAAAAGGTACCAGGGGTATTTCATGGGGCCCTCTACTGACCCCGGGCCCTCGGGCAGTGCCCGAGTAATCGAATGGTCAGTCCGCCCCTGAGCAGAATACACCTTGGCCTAAAAATTATTAAGAACAATTATTTATTTGCAAACTTTTATAACAGAAACAAAGACAAACTTGTTTTTTTTTTTTTTAATTTTCAGTCGGTTTTTATTTAGCAAAACTAAAAACCTCAGTGGTGATTAAACACCACCAAAAGAAAGCTCTACTTGTGTGAACAAAATGATACAAATTTTGTTTGTGTACAGTGTTGCATGACCGCGCAATTGTCATTCAAAGTGTGAGAGAGCTGAAACCTGAAAATTGGCCTGGGCAGGAAGGGGTAAAAGTGCCCTGTATGGAAGTGGTTAAGGAGCCTCCACCTTCCATGTATTCTGTCAGTGGTTCCAACATGGACCAAGACAGCTGGGTCATGCCCAGCCCCTCCGAGTAATTTATCAACCTGGTCCACCACCAGGGCCAGATCTAGACAGTCTGATGTAGGAGTGCAGTAAAAAATCTTGGGGGAGCAGAGGATATGAGGTCAGTAGGGCAGTGTACAGGGGCCAGCAGGGCAGAGGATAGGGTTAGCAGTTTATAGGACATTCTACAAAGGTCATTAGTTTGTAGGACAGTGTACAGTGGGTTATCAGACCAGAGGACAGTGTGCAGGGGGTCAGCAGGGGAGTGTACAAGAGACAGTGTGCAGAGGGTTAGCAGAACAGAGGACAAGGGTCAGCAGGGTGGAATAGGGGTTGTCAGGTCAGCAGTGCAGAGGACAGGAGTCAGCAGGACATAATACATTGGTCAACAGAGAAGAGGACAGGGTCACTGCTGGCAGAGCACTCAGCAGGTCTCCTCTTCCCTTCCCCACACTACAAACAGCCTGGGTACTCAGATCTCCTCCACCCCACACAGCACATAACCGAGATCAGATTCCCTTATAGACACAGCATCCATCCTTTGAAAACAAATCTTTGCCACTCAATCCCACCCCCCAGCTCAAATCTCCAATTCCCCTTGCAAAAATCTCCCCTACACCAAAAAATCCCCCCTCTAGTACACATCTTATTTTCCTCAAATTTCTCATCCTAGCATCCCATCCTATTACTCTTCCCAGCACAAATCCTCCCTTCCCACCCAAACCCATTCAAATTCCCCTTCCTAGCACAAATCCTCACCAGCCCGCTCCTCTTATCCCAAATTCCCCCACCTCCTCCTAGCACAATGCCCTCCCCAATCCCCCTCTCTGCCCAAATCCCCCCACCCCCTCTTACCAAAACTCCCACCCCCAATCCCCCTTCCTAGCACATATTTCCCAATCCCCCCTCCTAGCACATATTTCCCAATCCCCCCTCCTAGCACATATTCCCCAATCCTGTCTCATAGCACATAGCCCCCTCTTTTCACCTCCTAGCACATATGCTTCCCCTTCCCCTCCTAACACCTATCCCCCCCGATAGCACATACCGCTCAATCCCCCCTTCAAGCACACCCCTCCATCCCCCCCTCCTAGCACATATTTCCCTAAATCCCTCCTCCTTGCACATATCCACCCCCAATCCTTCCTCCTTGCACATATCCCCCCTAATCCCTCCTCCTTGCAAATATCCCCCCTAATCCTTCCTCTTTGCACATATCCCCCCTAATCCCTCCTCCTTGCAAATATCCCCCCTAATCCTTCCTCCTTGCACATATCCCCCCCCCCTTAATCCCCCCTCCCTCCCTTGCACGAATCCTTCCCCCCAAATCCCTCCTCCTTGCACGAATCCCCCCCAAATCCCTCCTCCTTGCACATATCCCCCCTAATCCCTCCTCCTTGCACATATCCCCCCTAATCCCTCCTCCTTGCAAATATCCCCCCTAATCCTTCCTCCTTGCACATATCCCCATAATCCCTTCTCCTTGCAAATATCCCCCCTAATCCCTGCTACGTGCACATATCCCCCCTAATTCCTCCTCCTTGCACATATCCCCCCTAATTCCTGCTCCTTGTACATATCCCCCCAATCCCTCCTTCTTGCACATATCCCCCCTAATTCCTCCTCCTTGTACATATCCGCCCCTAATTCCTTGTACATGTCCCCCCTAATTCCTCCTCCTTGTACATATGCCCCCTAATTCCTCCTCCTTGTACATATCCCTCCTCCTCGCACATATCCCCCCTAATCCCTCCTCCCTGCACATATCCCTCCTAATCCTTCCTCCTTACACATATCCCCCCTAATCCTTCCTCCTTGCACATATCCCCCCCAATCCCTCCTCCTCACACATATCGCCCCCAATCCCTCCTCCTCGCACATATCACCCATAATCCTTCCTCCTTGCACAATCCCCCGCCAATCACTCCTCCTCACACATACCCTCCCTAATTCCTCCTCCTCCTCATACATACCCCCCCAATCCCCCTCCTTGTACATATCCCCACTAATCCCCCCTCTTTGTACATATCCCCCCTAATTCCTCCTTCTTGTACATATCCCCCCTAATTCCTCCTTCTTGTACATATCCCCCTAATTCCTCCTCCTCACACATATCCCCCCTAATTCCTCCTCCTCACACATATCCCCCCTAATTCCTCCTCCTCACACATATCCCCCCTAATTCCTCCTCCTTGAACATATATCCCCCCCCCAACACCCCTCCTAGCACATATTCCCCTCCAATCCCACCTCCTAGTCGCTAATCCCTCCACCTCTAATCTCAAACACAAATTATTTACACCCACCCTCCATACACACAGGATCGCTAGACTGGACTGCACACAGTTTAATTACCAGCCCCCTACACACAATTCCTCCTGCTGGGACTTGGAGGAGGCAGGGTGCAGGTAATTAAACTGTGTGCAGTCCGAGCTAGTGGTCCTGTATGTGAAGGAGAGGGCACAGCACAGCCTCTCTCCTGTCTACCCCTTAGCTGAACACAGATTACTGCATCAGTCTGCGCACTCGTGTCCCGGGCTGGCCCTGAGTTTGTGAATGAGGGATGGTAATCAGCCATCGGCTGTCAGCCCCCCAGATCTGGCTATGTCCACCACATGCCGAGCCCTGGCACCAGAGAGATAGCAAACCATTCGGTTGAAGCGGTCCTGGTGACAAATTAATCTATCAGTCCTTCTGATTATAGAATTCCCTAGTACCACCAGCTGTCTAGGCCTTCCTGCACTATCCTCACCACCTCTTCCAGATGGTCTGCCCTCCTGGCTGTTAGGGATAGCATTGACATTCAGAACTGCCACCCCTGAGCTTGCCACCCCCACATCTTCACCAAAATCTGTTTGGGTGTTCAAACCCAGGGCTGGCCTTCCTTTTGTTTGAGACCCTATCACTCCCTCTCACTACAGTAACCCATCTTCCTACCTGATAATCCTGATTAGCCCCTCCACCCTCAACATCAATCCCATTAGCTACCTACTCAGAGAGCAGAAGACCCCTTTCAAGGTTATTGGTACACTGCCATTGTCAAACCTACATTTATATGCATTTAGAGGACATTTCTAAATTCATGTAATGATTTTTCAATAGTGCCATTCACGCCATGCATATACATGTGATCAGTATAGCGGTGTTTAACCCCCCTGGCGGTATTCCCGAGTGTTGCTCGGGGTTAACTTTCAGTACAAAAAGCGGTAACCCCGAGCTACACTTGGGATTACCCTGCAGTATTGCTCATGGATTCCCTCCAGCACTTACCTTGTCCTGCGCTCCCGCGATGTCCCCCCTGCAGTATCACCGGCCATCTCCTCTGGCCGATGCCAGCATCCGTCTTCCGGGTTACGTTCCCTGCGAGTGTTGGGACGTACGGGGGATGGAAACGGCGGGAAATTTAAAAATGTTAAAAAGTGAAATTCACTAAATACACTAAAATCACATAGTAAAACATTACTGTATCAAACCATTTCACATACATTTTGTCCCTAGTGCTTTGTTCTGTGCCTTGCCTGCATTTTTACTGTTCTTTCTGCCTGGAAACTGAGAAACGTCCATGGCGTCCAAAAAGCGTTCCTTTAGGTCAAAAGCGGTTTTAGACCAGCTAGAGCACAGTGATAGTAAATTAGAACCACTTAGAGAATTGAGTGATAATGATTCGTGGGGAAATTTGTCATCAGACACTGCTTGAGGTGATTGTAGCCGTATTAGTGCATTTGCGACAGAAACAATTGAGTACTGTCTGTGATACTTTTTTTATTTGCACTAACATACAATTTTGAGGACAAGCTTCTGGGGAATGTGCCTGTCAGGAATGGACTGGCCAGCAATGGTGGGTATCACCTGCCTTATGAGCTGCAGTACCAGGGCTGGCCAGCGGGTGCTCCCAGCAATCAGAGACTCAACCTTGCAGCCAGCAAAACACCTGAAACTGCTTATGCTGGTGTATTTAAGGGATGGCCAGACCTGCAGACTCTGCCTTGGTGTATGTGTTTCTCCGGGGCCCTGTTTCCTGTTCCTGTTCCTGTCTGATTCTCTGCTGACCCTGCTCTGATCCCTGGCTTGTCTGACCATTCTGCTGCTCCTGATCCCTGGCTTGTCTGACCATTCTCCTCTGCCTGACCCTCTGTACCATGCTGCCCGCTACCTGCTGAACCTGGCTTGTGACCCTGACCATTCTCCGCTTGCTCCCCCTGTACCCTACCTACCTGCCCGATTGATATTGACCCGGCCTGCCTGACGACGCTTGCATTGTATGTACTGTTATCTGTGGGTGGTTGGTTTGGTTTGTTTGCACTGTGTTATGTTTTAGTATTGCACTGCGTTTATGTTTGTATTGTTAGTGTTAATAAATTACATCGTTTATAACATATCTGAAGTCTGCGTTTCCCTGCGTCAGTCACACACCTCTGGTCATACCCGGGAGCCCTGACAGTGCTCTTCTTCAAGGTCCAAGCAGTACTACTCACAAAGTTTTAGCAGAATGTTAGAAGAGATGAAAAAAAAAAAAAAAAGAGGCTAGAGATAAGGCACAGCAAAATAAGGGGGGGGGGGGGGGGACAACACTCACACAGAGGGAGTCATGCTTGAGCTGATAGTCATAAAACTGTTGGATAATGATTGAGGAATCCCATGTCCAAATTCAGGCCGTTATCTCTTGTGTCAAATAGAATTATCATTCTTAGTTCAAAAGTTTTTCTTTCCTGAATGGATTTGAAATTTCCTTTAAGAACTAAAATATTGAGGTCTCCCATTGTGTGGTCTGGTTGTGTGAAATGGTGTCCCACCGGTGTGCAAAAGTCATCTTCTTTATGTTCCTTGATGGTATGTCTGTGCAAATTCATCCTTGTTTGCAACTTCTGTCCTGTTTCGCCAACATAAGATCCTTTGTTACATTTTCTGCACTGGATAAGGTACACAACATTACTAGAGGTGCAGCTGTATGATCCGGAGATATTGAAGATCCCTTTTGAGTGTCTGACACTTTTTGATGGATTGATTTGGTTGCACAGTTTGCAGCGTTTTTTATTGCAGGGTTTGCTTCCATTATTTGTGACATCTTGATCAGAAGGATGTTTCCTACTGATTAGTTTATTTCTGAGGTTGGGGGGTTGTCTGAAAGCCAGTATTGGTGGTTGCTGGAATATTTCTTTCAGAGTTCCATCCTGTTATGATGCGTTGTAAATCTTTGATTATTTTTCTTATCCCTTCTAGTGATGGGTTGTATGTGGTTACTAGAGGTACACGGTTGTTTGTTTTTTTCTCTTTGTACTGAAGTAGATTTTCCCTTCAGGTTCTCAGGGCTGTGTTTATGCTGGTGTTGATAGTTTTGTCCTTGTAACCTTTCTTATGGAAGGAGTCTGCTAGTGTCCCGAGATGTTTATCTCTGTCTCTTGGGTCAGAACATATTCGGTGGTATCTAATGGCCTGACTGTGTATGATGGCACGTTTCGTGTGTTGGGGGTGAAAGCTAGAACTGTGGAGGTAGTTGCATCTGTCAGTGGGTTTCCTGTATATTGAGGTGTGAAGCGTATCATCCCAGATGTATACTGTGGTGTCTAGGAAGTTGACGTGTGTCTTTGAGTATTCCATTTTTAGTTTGATTGATGGATGAAAAGTGTTGATCAATGAGTAAAATTGTTTTAGGTATTCTTCACCTTCTGTCCATATGATGAAAATATCATCAATATAGTTCTCATCAGACACTGAAAACGATTTTGCGACTAAGCTCAGTGATGTGCGAACTTGGCGCTCTATATTTCAAATTTCAGTGTTTTTGGTTTGATTATTATTATTGAATTAAATTTATTATTATAATATTAATATTTTTTATGATTATTTAGTATATTATAATTTATGATTTCGGTTTTCAAATTTTAACATACCCGGGATGTTTACTAGACTCTTGTTCGGACAGATTTCAGTGAGTTATTCCTAAAAATTACAGGCCTACAATAAAAAAAAAAAAAAACGACGCAATCATGCAAATGGAAATAAATCTCTGAACTTGTATGTGTATACAGGTGCACAGCTACTTATTTATGTTGGTGGCTGTAGACTGTAGCTGTGTCTCCCAGAAATACACTATATGCCCAGAGCATCAATCCGAGTGCAATGCAGAGGGACTACTTGTAAAGTTGGAGCTGTAGTAGGGAGCAAGAGCCACATAAGCTGATGTCTCCTCTGTAGTGCTGGCTCCTGTCCCATGCGGACAGATACCAACTGCACTCCACCTTCCAGCTAGCGGTCTCGAGAGTGGTGCCAGCAGCAGGAAATAAGAGATTGCCAGGTCATTGTGACGGCATAATAGGGCATAATAGTATAGGGCTGCTTTCACACTGGTGTGCTGCGGTTTGCCCACACCACGGCTGCAGTGCAGTGTACCTGCAGCTTTCCTGCAGCTTTGCTGCACTTTGCCTTAGACTTCTATTTATATCCTGTGAGTTTGATGTGCTTTCTGAAAGCGTACCAAAACTCCTGAATGCAGGAGTTTTGGTGCTCTGTCAGAAAGTGCACCACACCTGCAGGATATAATAGAAGGCTATGGCAAAGTGCAGCTAAAACAGGAAAGTCACAGATTCACTGCACTGCATCCACAGTGCAGGTAAACCTCAGGCAGTATTATTTTGTTTTCTGACCACCTACTGTAACCCCTTGGACCCTGCAGAAGCATGCTGTTGCATGACCCATTTACTTAAATGGGTCATGATTGGCAGGTGGTACCACCCACCAAAGCAACAGGGGATTTCATACCTTCTGTGACATGTGTACACCTAAGTGGGGGGATTGGGGGTGGTAAAAGCATGATTCAACCGCACAGTTTTACCACCCCTCAACTTTACGTGTGAATGAGCCCTAAGGGTGCTGCTGGTAAATGCAACTAAGGGCATATTCACAAGTGCAGCAGGCACTGCTGCTCCTCTGAAAAGCGATCCGAGTGTGTGAGGAGATGATAAGTTGTCTCCTCAACGTCTAATTTGACTGTCGAGCAATGCAATGCGATTGCGACACAGTAGTATGGTAATTAGAGAATTACATCAGGTGTGAGGAGGGCGACACTGTGACTTTGACTTCTCCCAAGTTGTTCAGGTAGATCTCCACCTGTTTGAGGTTTCCTACCCCTGTTTTACAGCTTAATGCACCCCTGTGCCTAAGGCCATAAGCTGACTGAAAAATCTTTCAGCATTTGCAACTCCTAGGATCCTCAGTAACTTGATCCCCTTTTTGCTCTGTGGTTTCATCCGCTAGCCTCTACACCACCTCAGGTCACAGTAGTCATGAAGGAGGCGATGGGAGGAACCATAGCATACAACAGGTGAGCAGCCATCAGACATAACTGCTGAAAAGAAGCACATGTGTATTTACATTTTCGTGTTGTGGTGTGGTAAAGTGTTACTAATCCCACAACAGTAAAATCAGTCTGTATATGCAGTAAAGCTTGTGGAACCGAAGGGGTTAATCCTGTAAAAAGGATGTTTGATCCTGTCTTCTCTGATCCTCCCCTTTTCTGCCATCCCCAATCTGTATTCAGATAGAACAGAGCCTTGGAAGCAAGTGAAGGAGAATAGGAGATGTTGGGAAGCTCACAGGGTACATTATCAGGAGGAAGAAAAATGCAGTAGAAAAGGATTTAATGAAAAATCGATTAGAGGGCTATTACGTAATGGATGTGTATGGATTATTTTGTTAAAAAACGGATATTGTTTAGTGTCACTTCGATATATACAACTGCACAGTGTTATGGCACTTACTTTCTATTTTTTTTTCAAAAAACAGTGTCCTCATCATTGAGGACACCATTGATCCTGAGCAGATATCTAGCTCCTTTACAGATATGCAGCTCCAAACTTGCAAGGAACCTCCACCATGCTTCACTGTTCCCTGCAGACGCTCATTATTGTGCCACTCTCCAGCCCTTTGTGGACAAACTGCTTCCTGCTACAGCCAAATATTCCAAATTTTGACTCATCAGTCCAGAGCACCTACTACCATTTTCCTGCACCCCAGTTCCTAGATTTCCATGCATAGTTTAGTCACTAGCCTTTTTTCCATAGCAGAGGTATGGCTTTTTGGCTGCAGTTCTGGTTTCTGCCAGTTCTGTGCTGATGGAACTGCTGGACATCTTCCAATGTTGAAAGGAAGTAAGCGTGATGTGTCTTTCATTTGCTGAATTAAGTTTTCTTGGCTGACCACTGTGTCTGTGGCCCTCAATGTTGCCCAATCAATGTTGTCCTCAATGCTGAGAAATATAGGTAGATCCATCATGCCATACCATCAGAGAGGCATGTGATTGGCCCCAAATTTATTCTGCAGCAGGACAATGACCTCACACATACATCCAATGTCATTAAAGAATATGTAAACCCAACATTTCATATTCCTGATATGTACCTGTTGTACCATGTACTTGTAAGAAAAAGTATCCTGTTCTCTTTGTTTTGTTTTCTTTGTGGGAGACCCCTGGTGTTCCTGCCAGTCCCTCTGGTTTCCTATTAAAAACTGAGTACACTAAGCAGGAGAGCAAAGCATGGTCAGTTCTCTATCTATGATTGGAAATCAGCTCACTCTCCTCCAATGATCAGACTTGCCCTGACACCCTTCCCCCTGCACAGACACTCACTGGGAAGATTAGTGTTCTGTTGTTTCTCCTCCTCCTTCTCTGAGTGTAGTTGAGAACAGAGGGAATGCAATCACTTATAAATAAAAAGGGGGAAAAGGTATTTATAATGTTTTGTATATCTATACATGAAATGATTTACCTTTCATATCTATTTTAAACTGAATGGGTTGTTTTACAAGGTGAGGGTTTACAATCACTTTAGGAAGTATCTTCAAAAGAACAAGGAGCCCTGTAAGTGATGGTTCGGTCTCCCCAGAGCCCTGATCTCAACATCATTCAGTCTGTCTGGGATTACATGAAGGGACAGAGGGAATTGAGGTAGCCTACATCCACAGACGATCTGTGGTTAGTCCCCCAAGAGGTTTGAAACACCCTGCTTGCCCTGTTCCTTCAAAAATTATGTTCAAGTGTACCTAGGAGAATTCATGCTGGTTTGAAGTCAAAGGGTATTCACACCAAATATTGATTTGTTTTAGATTTTTCTTTTGTGCACTCACTTTGTAAATTGATAAAAATAAACAATTAAAATATATATTTTTGAAAGCATTTTTACTCTACAGCATGTCTTCACACCTGTCTAAAATCTTTGCACGGTACTGTATCTTGATTAAGTGGAGGTAAATTTGATTG